ATACAGATAAGGGCCCAGTTTAAGCATCCTCTAAGAGCACTGCCCCTAATGATTTCAAGTTACAAAAAGGAGCAGGTAAGTTGTCCAACAGACACGCGCAAAGGGCAGACAAACTTAGGAACTTGCGTAGTATCGCAGCATTCCTCTCACCATAACTCTGCCAAAAGAACTTATGCTGCACAGAGGACACTACTTCTGTAATCAGCGGGTCAGAAAACCTCTATGGGCGAAGTTTCCGGTCAATCCAAGATCATCAATATTTTAGCCAAAACCCGTCCGGCGAGCTTCACAGCCCAGAACGAGAAAATAATGAAAGGTTCCGAATTCCTTGGAAAACTTGCGCATAGAGGTTATCTAACCTGCTGATCACGAAAAACACACCTGCTTTGCAAATTAGCGTCTTACTGTATGGTTACGGTAGCGAAAATTTGAGAGACATCGATTTTTTCAAAATTAAACGGCCTATCTTTCCCAACAGAAAGGGAATCCTTCGCTACTCACTAGTACATAATAATCTACGGGGACAGCACTGCTGAACCATGTTTACATGAATCGTCCATGTGTGTTCTTCGCTGAGTTACACCACTACGAATACCCGTCCTCACGCAAAAATCGAGCTTATTGAAAACAGAATAGTACAAGAGTGCAGTATATCGGAAGATTCATCTTGAAGAGCTGAGCATCAAGCTTTCTTCGGAATTGTATTTTATGCAATTTGAAGGAAGTTATGAAGAAAAAACGAAAAAAACGCGAATCGTCAGTTTTTGCGTTTTCTGTCGAATAATTAGTGTGGGTACTGTATATGTAAAATGCAGCGCTCAAGAATTTCTGGAGATTCCTCTAAAAAGAGCACGGAAAGAATTCACGTTGCAAAGCTGAATGAGATGCCATTGTTATGACCGCTCTGCTGTGGTCATTTTGAATCTAATGCCATAAGTGCTAATGTGTTCTCTTAGCCATAGAGCATTTGTTAGCTCTGGGGATGGTACATAAGGCAGCTTGACATTGGATCACACCTGCCAAATAGTTTCTAAATCCTTTTTCCGCGCTGGAAAGTCCAGCTGAAATGTCTTGAATCTTACTTTTGGATCTGCAAGCCATCCGCCAAGGGAAACTCGATCATGCCTTTCGAAAAAAGACTCTTCTGTAAATTTGCCCAATGATCAACTCTCGAAGCTGATTGAGTTTACTTCTTACCGGGAAGGGAATGCTAGTTTTGACTCCATATAAGTTACCATCCCCTCTCCACCCCCAAAATGTGTCGCAAAATCTTTGGAAGCTACTTACATGGCACTTCAAGACCGTCTATTTTGACAAGCAGTGCTCCCATATAAGGATAGGTAGACATATTGGCTGCCATCATTGTAGCTTATACTTTATAAATCATTCAATGGCCAAAGAAAAATCAAGTTGTCTTTACTGCATAGAAATTCATAGGAGCAAATCAAAAAAAACATTATTTGAGCCCACCTCCGCTCGCGCAAGTATGCCGACTCCCCGATATTTGATTCTTTCTTGTTGTTGCGAACGAAAAAACGCCAAATGGCGTATGGTCCCTGCTTGCTCTTGCTTTATTCTAACATACTCAGTATTGATTACATCAATTGCCGATGTACTTAGATCGTTGTAGCGTGCTGAATAATTAAGTTTGTCTTCAATCTATGAAAAAAAATTCGAGAGGTAAGACATTTGTGTTGGAAGAAATGCGTAGGTTCATTAAAAATTACATAGGTGATCTTATGAACAATACGGATACTTCATAGAAACATTTTCTTGAACATTACCGCATCTTGGCAACTTCACTTCGGGGCTTGACATCAACACTGGGAAAACTTTTATCGAGTATTAGTAAGATTCGAAAGAGCAAGAAAGATGCTTTTAGAAAGTATTCATAATACTTCAAAAAGTGCAAAACTCTAAGAAAGTAGCTGTGTTAAATCAAGGCATTCAATGACCGAACAGAACTTTTGAAACAGCTTGATATCTGCATATCCTTTTATAAAAACAAGTGCATATTTCGGCAAAGAAAGGCTTGAAGCCTTGACTCGTTGCAAATCTCCGTAATTGTATGTAAAACTTGACCAATCGCAAGTATTTCCAATTTTGATGAAGTATGAAAAGTCAAAAGACGAGTCATCTGTGGCACGTGAGAACTCCTCAGAAAGGATGCTTAGAGTGTTAAAAATCTGCTTGTGGCAGATGTGGCAAAAGTGTGGTAATGTGAAGCTTTTTCGTTTTTTTTCGTTCATGTCTTCTCTCTACACTTTCTGAAATTGTTTTGTTTTAAGGCGCCTCGCCTCCTCCGCAAACTTTTAGCATCCTGATTTTTTTTGATGTTTCAAATGCTAGATCTTTTTTATTACAGAAATTGTTATAGCTGCAACTGCAGCTTGCTGGGGCGGGCAAAGTACATAGTGCAACAAAGCAGCTTGTTCCGAACCAACATGTTGTTTCAAAACATTCGAATACCTGAAATCCGTACAATAAGTCCGCCCATCAGATAAGTCCGCAAAGTTAAGTCCGCTTTCTTGACAAAACGAAAGTCGCCCTCGCGCCGCCAAGAGTCCTGCAGATAAGTCCGCTTTCCCATGCTCAGAATAGGCGAATTTATCTGCTGCGGACTTACCTGATAGTGGATTTAGGAGGACTTATCTGGTAGACTTTTGGCGGCGCAGAGGGCGTTTAGTCATCGATTTTTCGCGTCGAAACTGCAGATAAGTCCGGACTAATTGTACGGATTCTAGGGTAACTCTTTTACAATTCTGCGAAATTTAAACTTTATGACTGATCAATGACTTCAATAATCGCCCTGAGATTTGGGAAAAAATTCCTGAAATTTCAATGCGGATTGACCCCTGCTTTATGTTTTTTGTGAGGAGAAAACATGGAGAAAGAGAAGCAAAATCTTTAGCCTCATGTTTAATCACTTCTGTTTGAGTTTCGACCAGTACAAGTACTGGTTAGTAGAGACTGAATAAATTTAAGCTCTCGTCGAGTCCCAATATCAACGGTTCCAAACTTCTTCTACCTCCATATTGCAAGGTGATTACTCATTCAAATTCGTTTTTCTAAAGTTTCAATGCGCCTTTAAATCATGTTTCATGTTTGTAACATATCAGAAATGTTCCATTTTCCACACATATTAGTGCCCAGTTGACTTAGGTTTACTATAGGACGAAGCCATGGTGCGAAAGTCCTTCTCTAGAAGTGGTTCTCTCGGGATTTTATATTAGGTTGATGCAAAAGTTCTGTCGTTTCATTTTCAAAAATTTGTAACTTCGCGGGATTTCAACGGATTTGCTTGCTTATAGTTTTATTAGAAAGATTCGGTCTTCCACTTTCAATCGTTGTTTTGTGGAGCTTCTGTTTCACACTGAGTGCAGAGATAAAAATGGAAAACTAAGACCATGTAAACTTTGACCATTTTAGTTAGTTCACCAAAAATCTGGAATGCTGCAGAAAGATCAGAAATCGTCAATACATATGTTTTTTGGCCTACTCTTTGCAATTGTGAAAAGTTAGTGCTGTTTGGACGTCTCTGTGAGAAGTTATTTTTTCGCGAAAATTGACAAATTACCCTAATTTCCGAGGTATAAGGCTCACCCATATATAAGGCGCACCTGCTGCGCGAACGTTAACGCGAAAGTTACACCCTAGGTTTGGGTTTAGGTTGAGCTGTACTTTAACGGTCTACTTATCTATACTTTACCTGGAAACTGCTGAATGGGCGCTTCAGAGTCAGTATGTCAGTGCTTTCAATTTTCGGAAAGGTTTAGCGAAAATTTGACAACATGTAGACATAAACGAACTCAGTGTCAGTTAGCGGATGAGATTAAAATGATAACAGTACGGGTGTTTTAGTGTGAAATTTTTGTTTAGCGGAATATGAGGATAGAGCAGACTAATTTTCAAACAACGCATGATCACAAGCGTTCTAACAGAGAACAAATGCACGAAACTGTTACGAAAAGTTAGTGCCTTTGCCCTTGCAACGTCGCACATCGAACGCGTCGCGCAAAACTGCTCGCACGCGGCGCCCAAAAATGCGCCCTATACTCCGGTAAATAGGGTAATCAATTTTGGCGTTTTCCATGGTAAACTCGATATTCATAATTTCTCGCAAAGCGTCCAAACATCACCAACTTTTCACAGATGCAAAGGGTAGACCAAAAAACATATGTACTGACGATGTCAGATTTTTCTGCAGCATTCCAGATTTTTGGTGACCTAACTTAGATTGGTCAAAGTTTACATGGTCTTAGTTTTCCGTTTTTATCTCTGCACTCAGTGTGAAACAGAAGCTCTACAAAACAACGATTGAAAGCGAAAGACCTACCTTCGTAATAAAATTAATGAAACGACAGAACTTTTGCGCCAACCTAATATCAAGAAGAATGGAGATTTTATTAAGCAAAATCCTAATGTTGAGATGAAACTCTTGAGAATCGTAACTATTCGTAGAAAACATCTGATTAATACCAATTTTGCTTTTAGAAATGCTAAGTGTGTGAGAACCAAAATCAGTTTCTCAAGGAGTTTCATCATTTTCAGCAACAATTTAAAACAGACGGTTTGAGTCTTTTTCTTTTTATGTTGGTCGTCAGATTGCCAATATTGATTTATTGCTTCAGTCACTAAGAGAAAGCGCATGATTTGCTTTTGATGAAATGTACTGGAGCAAACTAAATCGCTAAAACTAGAGGAAACTACTTTTATTAGGAATTCTGGTGCAAGAATTTGGACTAATTCTGGTGCAAGACTTTGGACCTAATGCATGCTTTTTTTGGACCAATTCTTTTTTGTAGTACATATTCTCATCGAGTTAAACTTTAATAGTTTTAAGCGCGGTAATGAATGCTTCCTCAGTACTCATATAACTACAGTTTTTGCCTACTTTTTTCCTTTCCGTTCTGTATGACTTCGGTAAACTTCTTCACTTTATCAACAAGGAGACATACCAGACTACCCTCGTCACTCCCCCCCCCCCCCACAACCTGTTTGTTCGCTCATCAACGTAAAATACAATCATTCGAGTGGACAGCGATGTCGATGAATTCGTCGATGACATTGGTCCGATCGCCGGCGATCATGATTGCCGGAAACTTGCCCGGTTTTCGAGCACCAAGTGTTGTCCCTCGTCTACGAGACGAATCGCGAAAATTTCTGGTATGCGAGGAATCCGCGAGCGCGAGGCACGAGAAAAAACACAAGGACACCGGAGCGGCCCCGTCGTAGACGAGCCGCCCATCTTCTCCACCGCCAGCTACCCCCGATTACAAACATCGTCGCTCTCGTCCGCAAAATCAAATTCGACCGCAAAGCAAAATGATGTTTGCCGTGTTGTCGCCGATACAAGAGTATGTACTTTAATAATTAAAATAAATAAATTATTATATTTTAATCTCTAAGATATAATATTTCGATCCGTATGTTCTATTCCAAATTTTTCGCTTGAAATACTTTTTGAATTATAATAGTATGCTATGCCTATCTTTGTTATTACACCTCTCGGCTAGTGTGAGCAGCATTCGACAGCGGAATAGTGGCTCAGATGAACATTAATCTTTTCATTTTGATGTCAACTTCTAATCGACACTTTGATCATGACGCAGGGAGCTCAAAATTTTGCTCATTCGTGTCGATAAATCAAATGCGATCGACCTTAACTTGTTCTTGTGTTCAACACTCCTATTATAATGTACGGTGGTACATGGCCAGATTAAGTTTGAATTTTGTTTTGTGACTGTCACTGTTTGGTGCCCAGATTTCTATGAAAAGAGAGAAAAAAGAGGGTGGGTGGGTGGGAGGGAGGGAGGGAAGGGGGGGGGGGGGGGAAGGGGAGAGGAAGACGAGAAACTTCAATTTAACGCTATACGTTCTTTGAAATTGTTAAACACTTGTGCGTTGCCACATTCACATGATTTTTCTTGGAAAATGTTAATGGTTTCTTCTTACTCGAAAATACTTCAGGATGGACTGGGGAGGGGGGTGTTGCGATAAATTCTAATAATAAATTTGATAGAATCCATCACAAATTGCGTTTATGTATATACTAAACCTGCAGCATGTTAGCTTCGTAACTTTCACGAATTTGATGAACCTGAAAGCTCTGACCATTAATGTTATCGTAAAAATATGTTTTTGTAATTTCATCGCATGAATCGTAGAAATACCTTTATCAACCCTCAAATGTAATCATTGCTGTAATTATCACCATCGAATGTTCAATACAGACGCAAATGCCACGAAAACTTGTCATTGTCCTATTATGGACTCTCACTATCATTTTGCCTCCTTCAAAGAGTGGGTGATCTCATCCCATCATGCCTTCTTGTAGTATATCGCTCTCGCTCTGAACTTGCGTACTTTTCTAAATGTTCTAGCTGCTCTTTCGAAGAGCTCTTTGTAATCCTAGGCACTCAAAGAATTTCCTGCCGCAAAGGTGCATTTAGAAATTCTTTCTACGATCTGCATGTGTTCTCGGATATTATTGTGTAATAGCCGAGGAATGTCAGGAATGCTTTCAATGCGGCCGTCAGCTAGGGAAAGCTCCATTGTAGCAGCGCATTCTTGCATTACTAACACTTCAATAATCCATAAATTCTGTAAAAAGTGAATCTAATTTTGGGTGTTAGAAAGGATGACGTGAAAGGCGTTGTGTAGCTTTGTTTAAGTCAGATATACAGACAAAGCCACAATTCTTCGGATGTGATTATTTGACCGCTGCCAACTGGATCCCCATACTATTGCTATTCGAGGAAATTACCAAATAACTTTGACTCCTTCGACTTAAAAAAAGTGAAAACGATATGCCAGTAAGACGACTTTGTTACTCACTTATTAGGCACTTACTTACTTACTTTACTCACTTATTAGGCATTAAGTGAATCATTTCGCTTGTTTTTTTTTGACTTGGCAAACTAGACCTCTGTACTTTTTCACCAAAGCGAACAACAAATTAAGGTTAGAAATCACTGGACTACCATTGTAACTTCAAAGTAACAGAATGCCAGCACCCCTTTGGAAATCAAACTATTTTTGTCTTAGGAACTGTTCGATGGAGCAAAGCAAGCTTTGCAAAAAAAACAGCAAACATCCACCCTGATGTGAATCATGCAGAGTAAGTCAGAAATACAAAAGATTTTGCTACTCGAAAGGACCGCCAAAAAAATTCCACAAAGCTCCAAATTTTTTGTCATAGAGTAGATACACATTAGCAAATTTTTTTGCTAGTAACTTTGAGAAGAAAAAAAGATAGTTCAAATTAGCAAACTCCGCCTCAACTTCCTCGCACATATATATTTGTTTGTAAATCGCAAGCTTTAGTGGGTAGTATTGCCATAAGTATATCTCTGCTCTGTGTAATCGAGAAGTACCAGTTGTATTTGAAACCTGGAAAAAGCTAATTTTTGCACTCGAGCCATTCTTGTTTTTCATTTTAAGTCGCGAAAAAAATTTGGCAATTACATTCATGAACCATGTATGTAATCAGCTATCATGCATCTACTGTATGAATGACCAGGAATGTTGTATTTGGGCAATTTATCCAAATTACGTCTTAATTATCTTTGGTGGTCATTTTGTAAAGCTTGCTTTGCTTTATCGAATAGTGACTCAAGTCTGCTAGGAAAACAAAAACAGCTGGTTTACTATACAAGCGTGAGTCTGAAGTCTAATTTTCATCTATTAGGTTGTCCCATAAGTTTTTCCATATTCGGACCTTCATTTCGATTTTTCTCAGGAACTACAGCACCTAGTAGGCTGCAAATTTTTGGCAGTAATTCTGACCGAATAAGCTATATAATCACCTACTTGCAGGGAATACAGAAGTGATACAGGCAAAGTTTGAAAATTGTGCGCATTATTTTTTCCTTGGTTTCTAGCCATCAGAAAAATGCAGCAAGTGCATTTATAAATATCCGATAAGGAGAGTATATGCATGAAAAAATACGAAATTTGCAGAGCTGTTTTGAACTGAGATGTGATGATTTTCGTTTTTTCGGAAATTCAGGAAAATTTTTTATTTTGGTTTGGAGCATGTTGCGGATTGGACTTGGTGCGAAATTTTGAACGCCATCTTGTAGAGCTTACTTTGATCTGTCGAATGGTACCCTGCAATTTATCAGGAGTTCAAGAAGAACTGATTTATGTCGTTGGAAAGTCAAGTATGAAAAGACTTATGGGACAACCTAATATTTTGCTCGGGAAATTTCTGCCCCATTTTTGAGTGATAAGCCAGCCTTCCTAGTCCGAGTCCACCTCAGCTACTGAGGAAGTGCTGGTGTTTGTTTGCTTTGGCACTCATTCAAGAATCACCGGAATTCGTCGAATGCGAGCAACCTTGAGGCGGCCTGCATTCCACCGGGCGCCCCAGCCAGGTCGCTGCTGGCTGCGAGCGGAGCCGCCCATTCGCATCCATCCCTTATCAACTGATGTCTTTATTGCATTGCTTTGACATCGTTATGATGATATTATGCCACTTGCTCGCTTATCATAACTGAATGCGAATGTATGCAATGCATGGAATTCTGGAAAACTTTTTGAAAGATGCAAGGTGTTTTTGTTTAAAAGACTTTGACACTTCTAATCTTGGTACTGTAACTGAAGCCAAAGTACTGGGAACCTTTGAAACTGCGCTTGACTGCTTTTACAGTACAAATGGCTGGAAAAATTCTGTTCTAATCGCTAACGTCTACTGAAGTTTATAAATTTATTCACTGAATTCTCCTTGTCCCAAAACTCCTCCTGTGCAAGAGTCTTGGCCAGACTTCCATCATTGATTTGAAAACTCAAAACCCTTGCCTTCTCGAGCAAACGGTATCTAACTGACGCTGTGTCTCACAATAAGTGAGAAGTTTATCGATCTGCACACATATAGAGAAGATCAATCATCTGCAATCGCAGACATCCATGTCATTATTCATCTATGCATGCTCAGCTTATTGGAGAATCTTTCAAATTTTCTATGTCTACCGCAAGAATCGCTTCAGGACATTGTTGTGTGCTCAGATTGGATTTTTCGTTATTTATCCTGGGGAACATCTTCCTGCATCTGATTCTGGATCCCTACGATGTTTTTTTGCTGACCGTTGATTTTCTTAGCTCACTAATTTCCCAGGGTCTTCTTGCAACTATTGAGTCTTTATTAAAAGAGTAACGTTACACACCAGATAGTCGCGCATTATCATCACTTATATAATTTATTTGTGACCTTGTTTTGAAGAAATTTCACGTTAATTTAATCTGTTTAAAGCCTCCTCTATTCATTTTTCCCCTCTACTTTACCATGCAAGTTTGCTACCAAGTTTGCTTCGCTTCTGATCTAAATCACAGTAAATAAAAATACATGATCCCCGAAGTTTCCCGTTCTTTCTTGGATGCTTTTGCATTCTTTCATTGTCATCAATATCGTTGTCATCATTGCGACCGCCATATCGATGGTTCCAATTATGAAGAGAAACATTGACTTCTCCATTCGAAAGCTTCATTTTGACTTCAGTCGCATAGAAAACGTGTAATTCATATTGTATCATATTACTCCTATGATATTTATGTTATTCATACAATTTCACCAATTCTAACTTTCTCACTTATATCTCGCAAAAAGGCGTAGCTATCCCATTTTGACCAGTGCCGATTACTTTCAAATGTTACCATCATCAAATATGCATTTATTTGATACTTGAGGCCCACTCCTTAGTTTTGTAAATCCAGTTCTGATAAGCAAAATGTTGCTGTGTTTCGTTATAAACATTCAGATATACTTGACCATAAGCTGTAAACGAAATCTTTAAAGGAAGCATCAGAGAAGGTTTCTTAGTATTTTTACTGCTATACTTCATCTGTACTATATATCTTGCGAAAAGGTTACATCTTAACCAATTTATGCTCACTAATGGTAGTTATAAGTATATTCTCTGCTTCTTCTTACCTAAATCGTTCTTTTTATAAAATTCAACAACTGAGGTTTGGAGGCAAGCATTTCAAAGCTGTGTTTTAACATCGAACATGGTTCGTCTTTGCGCCATCAACTATAATTGCTTGTTCAGTATATTGTGTCAGTTCAATGGAATCAGTTAGGGCGCGATTCTGAATTTTACTTCTTAGATTTCCAACACGGAATGCTTTTTTGGAATAGCTGACGTATTTTCAGATCTGAGATGTCCCGTGTGAGCGATACTCCCTATCACAAGATGATGGCTACCCCAATCGCGTCTCTGAACAGCTTGATGATTCAGTGCTCTTCAGCAATACCATCAACCGCTAACACCAGTCACATTCCAGGTAAGCAAGCTGTAACCGAACTAAACTCATTCGTGTACCCGTTAGTGTGGATAGGAAAAAAGCTAAAAATTTAGTTCACGGTCATTATTCAACAACTGTGTTTTGTTTGGGATAGCTATAGAACATAAAAAACAAGAATTTTATGACTTTATAGATGAATTTAGTATCCGACCTTACATCATCGTTGGCTTGCTCCCTCTTGTCGTGTTCAATTCCAACAGCTACCGTAATCGCACCGCCGCCACCGTATCACTCCATCAACCATCAACACACAATGCGCTCATTGTTCGACATGCACAGCTCATCATCGGTAGGCATAAGAATAAAAACCAACTTTTTGTTCGATCTGTGTGCTGCTCAGAAATAAAGTCTAAAGAACGAAAGGCCTGATCATCTTGTGATATGTTCTGAAAAAGGAAAATTATCGCAGTCCTATTCAGCTCCCATTTTACCGCTTACTTGGTTGTAGCTTTAGTCAGATTTTATCATTTTCATTTCGAACACTTGCAGGTAACGGAAGCGGATGCAGACGTTGTAGGGCTGTCGCAATCCACCAAAGAAGTTTCCATCCAAGACAATGATGTAGATCAAAGCGATAAAGTAAGTAACAAATTTATTGTAATGAACAGGGTCAAGCAAGGGGTGTGGCACACGATCGCTGGTTACGACCCCCCCCCCCCCTGATTGCTGTCTTAAAGACCCCCCTGAACTATACACTCAAGATAGCATTACTTGAAGGCCCTGTCAAACATAATGGGCAACATATTTATAATTAGCATGTCAAATAACCCCTGTAGACAAAGTTTGAGCGAGTTCTGAAGATTAAAGATACTAGGCTACCTAAGTGAAATGGTCATTTTCCAACATGATTAACTTTGTTTCAAAGGTGAATTAGCTATCCATTTTTGCACTCAAGACAAAGCACTACTCCTTCTTTGTCCACCTCAGGAATCCCGCTTTAGAAGACCTCCACACTGTGGAATTAGAAGCCAACCAAAATCTCGTTTTTCCTATTTTTTGCTTTTGATCGCTGTGCTTTCACCAAATATTACTCAAAGCTAAAAAGACGAATCAGGCTCCAAACAGTGCTATGGAATCTACAAGGTTTAGGCTATCGATTCATATAGATACTTTCGCTAAAATTGTTTTTCGAATAGTTAATGGGGTGCGGCACACCCCCTTAAAAGCTGCGGCGGCCGCAGCTTTTAAGGGGGTGTGCCGCACCCAATTAACTATATCAAAAAAACATTTTTAGCGAACGTTATTTATGTGAATCGATAGCCCAGATCTCCTAGTTTTCACAGGAGCGATTTGAGCCTGATTCGTTTTCTTTGCTCTGAGTGATATTTGGTGAAAGCACAGCCATTAAAAGCGAAAAATGGGAAAAACGAGATCTTGGTTGGCTTCTGATTTCACAGTTTGGAGGTCTTCTGAAGCGGGATTCCTGAGGTGGACAAAGAAAGAGTAGTGCTTTGTCTTGAGTGCAAAAACGGATAGCTAAATCACCTTTGAAACAAAGTTAACCATGTTGGAATTTGACCATTTCACTTAGGTAGCCTAGTATAGTTCATTTATAAAATCGTGACGACGACTTTTGCTGCGGACTTTGCCCCCACAGGAGCACAAAACGCTCATACAAGAAGGCATCACTTCAATGTTCAGCTCAGTCACTTCCAGTGTCTAAATGTTATCATACGTAGGCAAAAAACCATTCGGCGAGAGGCGAAAACCAAGAAAACGCGATTTCTGGAAGTGGCGTGCGTGTCGCGCGCGGTCGCGCCATCGTCACGATTTTTCAAATGCCCTATATCTTGAATCCTCAGAATTCGTTAACACTTTGTCTACAGGGGTTGATTGACATGCTAATTATGGATAGGATACGAATATCATGTTATCACTATATCAGATTACCCAACTACGACCCCCTTCCCTTTTGACTCCTCAATACGACCCCCCAGGTGTGGCGTGCCGCACCCCACCTTGACCCTGGTAATGATATGAATATCTGCTATCAACGAAGCCTTGTTCACATCAAAATGTGTGAAATCTACTTCTTCAGCGGAAGGAAAACTTAAGAAACATGGGGTGCCTTGGCTATCAGAATTAACGAGAACTTTGAAGAGCACTCCTTTTCCCGTGTTTCTCACGTTTTTTGACCAGCACAAATCTGGAAAAGGATTTTGTGCCTTTGTTTTTCTCCATCATGTTAAAACTGATCTCCTTACAATTGTGCACATGGCACTCTACAGTGTCGTCGTGAATACAACAGCCCTTTCTTCTAGATATAAAATAGTATTTTTCAGCCTCTAGATTTGTCTCTGAAAAGCTCCAACTCATTGTACTCACCCACAACGTCTCGACCCAGTGTCATAATAGAAAGTCCAACTGGTAAGCTTGCTTTGGAATATGTTGCATTATACTTGTGTATGAGGACTTCCAGAGTCCCTGGGTCCGTTTTGATCTTGCTACCCCCCCCCCCCTGATTGTGAAACCGCAGGCATCTCTGAAAAGTTAATTTTCAGCGATGATCACAAAACTATCTTTGGGTGTTGCACGTTTTTCAAATATGTGATGTCATGCTTTTCTACAGCTTACTTTGAATTACTGTGTGAGCGGCACTACTTCCGAAAATTTTCTAAAGGTAATCTTCTAGAAACAATAGATCTGCCTAAAGTGCGGTTCATAATTATACGAACACCCAAAATTTTGTAAGTTTTCAGGCTTTTTGGGAGAAACTCAAAAAGCCGTTGGTACCACGCGAAAGAGCACAACCGAAAACGGTATATGACCCATAAGGATGGAAATTGATGCCAATCTTAGAAGTGTTTTTGCGCCTAATGCGAATTTTTAGCGGTTCATAATTATACGAATACCTCAAACAAAGGTCCATTTCTCATCCGCGAGTGCAATCATTTGAGTCCAAATTTTTTGTAGAGTTACAGTAATAAAGTCTGAAACATCTGCTACACACTGAACCCAGTGAAGTTCAAAAAAAGGACCGTTACTTTTTTCAGAACGCTCTAAATGCTTTTGGAGTGATTGCGCTCCAAAAACATCCGTTCTTCTGTAGTTCACGCGCTTTAATTAGCTTCTACCAAAGCTATGAAATAAAATAAGTTCTTTCGATAGGTATTTTGTCTGACGCTTGGAAAATCTTTGCGTTTTCGTGCTTTTTTCAACCAAGTTCCATCCCATCCCTAGAGTTAGCACGATTTCGAGCCTCAAAACTCAGCTTCTATCCTGCGCAAACATTTGATATGAAGCAACTGCATTGCTTGCATGATGATGTTTCTGTGCCAAAGTTTTTGGGTTTTTTGTAGAACTGATCTTGTGTGGAGCTACAAACCAAATAGGGATGTGATTGCAATAGTAAAAACAGTGTTTTTAGTGAAATGACGTCTGCGTGGCCAAAACAAACGCTCAACGCTGCTAATTTTTTCTAGCCAAATATACAGTCTTGTGAACTTCTACATACTATATGCTTACTTCATTGTACGGCTTCAGAAGGTGAGTTTTGAGACTCGAAATCGTGCTAACTCCAAGCTAAGGTTGGAACTTGAATGAAAAACGGCACGAAAACGCAAAGATTTTCCAAGCTTCAAACAAAATACCCATCGAAAGAGCTTATTTTATCTCATAGCCTTGGTAGAAGCTAATTAGAGCGCGTAAACCACAGAAGAACGGATGTTTTTGGAGCGCAATCACTCCAAAAGCATTTAGAGCGTTCTGAAAAAAGTAACGGTCCTTTTTTTGAACTTCACTGGGTTCAGTGTGTAGCAGATGTTTCAGACTTTATTACTGTAACTCTACAAAAAATTTGGACTTAAATGATTGCACTCGCGGATGAGAAATGGACCTTTGTTTGAGGTATTCGTATAATTATGAACCGCTAAAAATTCGAATTAGGCGCAAAAACACTCCTAAGATTGACATCGATTTCCATTCTTAAGGATCATACACCGTTTTCGGTTGTGCTCTTTCGCGTGGTACCAACGGCTTATCGAGTTTCTCCCAAAAAGTCCAAAAACTTACAAAATTTTGGGTGTTCGTATAATTATGAACCGCACTTTAGTTACCAAAGGAACAGTTCACTCGCGCAATCAAAACCACTTTCAAAGTTGCGCTCTCCCTCTCTTTCACCCCCCTCCCCAAAACAATATATCCTCACAAAAAGTTACTTACTTCACTCCCCCCCCCCCCTCCTCCCCGTGCAGAAGAACAGAATATGGCCCTTGGTTTGACATAATTTTCCGAGCATAATCCAATAGACAAAATGCTCTGATGTGTTTGCCAATGTGGATTTGCTCTTTTAACCATGTACTAAGCCTACGTGAGCCGTTCTTCCCGCGTTTATTCGAATTTTATTCAATTTCTTATGCTACATCGCTAGGCAAACTTGTGAATCAGCAAATTCGCACGGATATATGAAGAGCACCCAATTGTCAGAATGAGTTGGCACGCTAAGAAGCAAACCTCCTACGCTTGCTTTCTTTCCCTTTTGATAATAAGGATCATAACCTTCAGTACGGAATCCCCCAGTGCGGCGAAGCGCTTCTTCTGTTTCGGCGACGCGAGAACAACCGGATGTTCATGAACACTTTAGGCGATCGCTTAGTGGGAAATGGCCAAGAAGATCGAAAATCGACGACGAAAAGGTGAGAAAAGACACTAAAGGTAAAGTATTTTGCTTTGAACATCCTTCTCAGATGAGAGCTTCACCCATCACCAGAAGAACGTCTTTCAATAACCACGGTTCGAACTGCACTACACAACCGCATGTGATAGTCAGCAACACCGGCGTCGACAGTGAGTGACACAGAATATAAAAGCATTTACTGACATAACTACCTCCTTATGAACTAATTTTCAGTAGTCGATCATTTCCGGCGAGCACTTTCCGAAAAGGAATTTGAAAACTGGCAGCGGAAAAGAAATGCCACTTCACAATCATCAAAGAAGTTATAGAATCTATGTCTGGTTCAAGTGTATTATATTATACAAAGAATTTATTGTGAAGTGAATAATATATAATTAGTCGCTATTTGGCACAAAAATTTCGATTATCCACGGAAATCATATTTTGCTCAACACTACTGGTAAGTATACCGGAGCGTAATAACGTAACGCTCCAGCTTTGATATGTAGTGATAAGAACTTGTAGATAAATAATTCAACCACCAAGCAGCCGAAGCTTTTCTGTATTGAAGTGAAATAATGACCATTCTTGATTCTAACCAACTATTTGTGAGTAGTTCCTAAAAGAGACGCAGTTAGGATTGTTAGGGATTAATGTCGAAAGTGTAAATGAAGTGAATCTGCAGCGCATTGTTTGGAATTTCACCTCAGTTTCCGATCCTAAAACCGGCTGTATGCCAGCAGAAAAACATGGGGAGTTACACTTGAGGCTATAAATTAGAGAAAAGTAACAAAACGCAGTTGGTAAAATTATCACAAGCAGCCTATAGTGATCCTTGGAAATGATAAGTGACCTTTTGATATGAAGGTTTATTCATTTACTAGCTGGCAAACCGCTCTCACCGGCCTGTCGATGATAATTTCGTAATCATCATGCTCACTTACTCCCCTGTGCCAACTCCCAGTATCGTACACGAAACTTTGCAGAATGGCGAAAACTATTCTACGACGCCCCTCCCCAAACCGTATACGTGCCGAGTTAAATCCAGATCGGTTCAGAAATAAAATTTTTTATTCGGAACATACGAACATACAGTCGGACAAACAGAAAATCAGCTTTATATATAGGGAGTTCTAAAAATGTGCCTACTGTTTGACCGTTGATAACTCGCTTGACATAAATCTTTCGAGGAGCTCCAGGCGCCATTTTGTAGAGCTGGCTTCATTTTAGATTGATAGTATGGACCGAATCATCAGTCGCTCTTCATTACTGTAGGATGCTGCTACTGCTTACCTGGCATAACTTTCAATGAAGCATCATAATGAGGTGCAAACTTTACTTTCAAAATAAGACTCTGATCAGCCTAGTGTGAAAGTTTTCTCTTTTTGTATCCTTTCCAAGGCAAAATGGCCCTCCGTGACTAAGAACTTTGTCGGAGTTCCTACCATTCCTATAACGAACAAGGTTGATGTCAGGCGTGATGTCAGGCGTGCTCAATCTGGAGCGTCGTATTGAGGGTAGAAATGAGGAGGAGGGGGTCGTAAACAAGGAACGAATTCAATCAGTTTGTGGACCACAGCCAATCAAGATGAAGAAGAAACACGCACACCGATGAATATCACAACTCACAAGATGAAAGAGTGACAGTCGTGAGCAGCACACTGATTAACTATACTATCAAAGTTCAGCCTTGAATCATCTCTTAAATTACACGATCCGTAAGGTTACCAAAAGATGCTTGCTGTGTGTATGACTTCCATAAACAGCATGTCAAATTACCTCTACGAGCTCTACAAACCAATACCTATTACATTTGTTAGTGTTTCCTGAAGTCTAAAAACCGTGATTTCAAACACGAGTGACTTAGTTCCATTAGTGAAAGAAGTCAACTCTTTATATTCAAAGCAAAGTAATATTCTCTGTTAGTTAATGCCAGTAATTAGACTTTACATCGCCTTGAAAAAGTGGATTAACAAGTGTTGCAAGCATTTTAATCACTGCGTTTTTCACCTTGAGTGCTTCAGCTCCACGGATCACCATAAGCCAAAACAAGTCCAAGTAAGCTCAAACACCTATAACAGGAATCTCCGAATTAATGCTGGCGAATCACATAAATCTTGGGTGAAAAACTACTTTGGAGACGTTAGTGAGTCAGGCGCAACCCCTCAAAAGTCAGGCTGCTTGGACTTTCGTAGCCTTGTGCCTGGCCCCATTAAATTGCGTTCACAGAAATCAGTCCATTCCTGATATGAGTATCCAGCTCTAGCCTCTTTTTGCCACAGTGAAAATTTGAGTAAAACGCCCACCCCCTGGGGAAAATCTGTCTCTTTGAATAGGCTCATTCACATCAAAATCCGCCGTCAAATTGCGTGCACTTGTAAAACGTGCAATCATAGAGTAGCGATGTAACAGTCTCCTAAATTCAAAAAAAGCTCCTCAGTACGCGCTTGTTTTCTCCAAAATATCACACTTTGAGTTTGATGCAAAGAGGAGGAGGAAGGGGTCGTTTGGGGCTTTCTGAAAAGGAGGGGGCAATTTCGAAGCACTGCCTGACCCTTTGCTCAAACCTGCTAGGCTGTTTAGAACGCAAGAGCTTTGATTGAACTGCAATGATAGTACAATTTGAGAGAAAAACCATTGAAAACTACATTGATTTCTTTTGTGGGGCGACTTAGGATTTATTATGCGCACAAAGTGCAATAACATCGGCATCAAAGTTCAAAAGGGGGTTTTTCCCAACAAACTCATCCCGATAGGATTACTAACATAAGGCTGCTGCATAAGTGTGTCCGCAAACTTTAGATTTCAGATTATCATACCTTCTTTCGAAATCAACTTTTTCCCATAATTTTACCCTATGTTTGTTAACACATTGACGACCACGCAAATTTTTGATGCCTGCATCTTGGGACTAAGACCTTTCACGGACCAGTGAGCATTTTTCAGATAAAATCGCGCATACTGCCATCTACAGTATATTTACAGTAGCTGTGAAGGGCTGACAAAGAAGATAGAAGTCATTTCTAGATTAAGAGCAAAAGAAAACTTCTGGAATGAGTTTGTACTAAAATAATCGTTATTTTAAAACGAAGTTAAAGTCTTGACACACCATGTGTGTCAAGCGGTCCCACGTGGAAGTCATAGGCTTGGCACACATGATGTGAAAAATCCTGTTAGAGAAGAGGCAAGAACTTGAAAACCTCACAGCGCTCTCCTACAAACCTGTCTCCTTTGACATAGTAATGTTCCGTTAAGAAATGACAAACACATTAAGCAGCCATGGTAGATAGAGAAAATTTTGAAGATTCTACTAAAAGTGCTCATAGGACCTTCGGTGCCGAGAGATTTTTTGACCAAATGAAAACGAAGCTGTTTTCAACCTGGATTCAATAAATGTATGTATGCCAGCCGCCTTCAAGTCGTAAACATTTCACACTTGCCGCATGAGGTGAAAAGTAACTGGTGGTTGGGTTTTGCTAGCTCTTGCTTTACTCTAGCATCTCCAACTTTGGACTCATCGACTTATGTTCGCGAATGTTAGTGCTTGTAGAACTTTTGTACAAATTTATTTTCCAAAGAAAAATTTCACTACCAGAACGTTTTTTCGCATAAAAGTGAGTTTGTGCATATACTGGACTGATTCGTCCTAGTGACCAACGCAAGGACTTGACTTGGAAAGCATATTGTGGATATTTTCTCGCATTTCTTTTTTTTAGCTGAGACCAAGTCTCGACTATCTGGGAATTATAGGTCTGCTATCTCTCAGACTAGAGAAACCAAAATGTAATATATGCTAGAAAGAGCAAGAAAGATGCTATACAGGGTGTTTGAAAAGTTCGTGGCCTAAAGTACTTCCAATTCGAATTTTGACGCGTTTTTTGCTATATGTGTTCTCCAAACCTTGAAACCACTGAATCAACAAAGAAAAATATTTTTTGCCTCAAAATACCCTAAAAAATTTGGAAGTAAACAATTTTTTCAGCTTCCTTGGAGAGTGCGTCATCTGTTTTGTTCTTTTTTTCCGACGCCGGAAAAGGCAAACAGCTTTTGGTTTTTTTACTACAAATAGTCCTAGATTTACACTTTCTTTATATAACAAAAGTTCTACATTAGCATGCTAACAAAGATTTTTTATGCGCTGAATCACAGCAGACAGGCGCGGCACCCTGTTTGCGCTGAAATTTTTTCAGTTTGAAAAAATTTAGAAGTCTTATTTCAACATGTATTTGTAGCACAACTCTCTGGCCTTCGTTGTATTCGTTTTCGAGAAATTTGCACGCTTGCAAAGGTTTTTAAGATAAGATATAAAAATTTCGGTGCTGGACTTTTTGACAAAAAGATCCTGAAAGTGGATCTCTTGGCTTTCGCGGTACGATTTTTTTCAAACAAACTTACCTCTACGAAAGTGAGAGCACACTTAAGAAACCTTGAAGAAAGGGCTTTGAGAAGGTATACTAAGTTTTCTGAAAATTATGTTTCCTTTTTTGTAACAAGCGTTTTGAGGGAAGGAGTTTGGAAAGCTATTCTGATGTGTTTCAATCTAATAAAAAACCAAAGAAACCACAAAAAAAATCTATTTTTTACAGAAGTGATGGTATTTAGGTCCGATGAGCACAATAAAACAAAAAACGCACAAAATTCGAATTAGAAGTACTTTAGGCTACGAACTTTTCAAACACCCTGTATAATGGTTCAAGTAGTATCGCATTACGATTGAAAATTTCCTAGAACAGCTGCTTCAAACACAAGGCAAAAAATCTGACAAAACTTATGCAGCACCCTTATACAATGAATAGACATACTACACTTCGATCAAAGTTTGAAGATATGTAGTAATCCTACCTTCGAATGATATGTAGCGAACGCTATCTGTTAGCCGATCCACGATGGAGGAAGAAAGAAGACAACATGAAAAACTTTCTGACGAAAATATGTACATGCATGGATGCAATCTAGATACTTTAAGCTATCACCCAGACAACTCACGCCAAGGCAACAAACGACTGAATAAAAGAACGTCGTATGCCAATCACTTCAAAACCATTACTGTTCGCTGGCCCGGCTCGATAAATATTAGAGATTCGGAAATTGAGCCGAAAACCAAAAGGGCTTTCTTTCGTTTTTATCAATCTCCACCTGGGCTACGTTGGCGAAGACGTCACGCTGATGAGAAATTGTTGTTAATGTTTCCGCAAGAATAGTGGGCGACAAACTGAACAAGCTTGTAGTTGAACCTGATAAGACTGAGTGTGAATAAAGCAGATAAGATTTTCGTTAAGGATTACCCTATGCTTTCAGAAAACGGAATAATTCGTAGTATATAGGTTAGCTATGTTATGCCAAACACGACCAATGGCTCAACAACTAGCTACATTGATAATTGTCATGAACTTCCGTTCATGATGAAAGACAATCTTTTCGCTCAGCAGAGACGAGCGTTCTTCGCTGCCGGCTGGTAGAAAGACTGTTGTAATGCCATGCCGGGGGCTTCTCTCGTTAGTCTTCTCTATGGGGTCGGTATCCTAAGCTCTCTCCCCCCCAC